TTTTAAAATGCAGCATTGTTTACAATGGTCTTTCTTTTAATGTCAGTCATTTGTCATTCTCCTTGTAAGCAACAAAATTAAATAGTAATAGCTTCACTATCTCAAATCATGTCAGTTCATTAAAAATAAAAAAATGAAATTGACAGTTTTACTGCCATATGAATCGGTTTATTTCAGCTTTAAAACAAAGAGACTTGTTTGACATTCTCCATACTGACTGAATGAAATACAAAAACAAGCATTTGCTGGATGAGGGGTGGTGGGAGAAAGGGGAAAAGGAAGAGGGAAAGCTTTGGGAAATTGAAGCAGTGGTGAGTTATTGCTCAGTAAATGGAGAGTAATGATATTTGCTGCAGAACAGGTGTTCCTCATTTGATTGAGACACGCTGTGGGAAATACACACATTTCAGGAAAATACAGAAACCTGCAAAGAAGAAAAAGAGGGGAGTGGGGGAAAACAGACGGATATTGTTAGGAATTACATTTGGACGACATATCGTAAACCTCTGCATCGATAGCATTGCGAATATTTTGCATTGTTGAACATCGTCTTTATTAGAAACAAATTTTCGCTTGTCTATAATTCGTCAGTTTTGACAAGGAGATTGAGGTTTTTCTGTTGTTTACTTTTTTCTTTTTCACCCCACGTCCAATGGTTGTTTACATTTGAATGATTCATTTCAAACACCATATGGGACTTGACCAGGTCAGGACAGTATAAAAGTGGATTTTAGTAAAAGGAAGTGGAGCTCTTTTGAAAACGATGAATGATTTTGTTTGCTGCCTCAAACAAAATGTTAAATGCTCTGCATGTTTCTTGCAAAAAAAAAAATGGTGTGCAGGTTTAATGAGTCCACTGGGGTGGGGGAAATCGTATTTACAAGTTCCCAGACTGTTCCCTGAGCATTTCTGAGGACGAACTAGTCACTGGTTCTACAAGGTTTCTGTTAGCCAGTTAGTAAATATACATTTTTTTATTACAAGCACCAAATGAAGCATTTATTTCTTATGAACACGTTTGAATTCAAACTGTCCCTGTTCATTTCTGCCTGCTTCCTAAATGTGATGCACCATTTTAGATTCACATCAAAATTAATTTGCCACTTTTTTGTTTATTTCTTTTCCATATTTTCATTATTTTCAAGGTTTGCAGATTATTTTCAAGTTTTGTTAGCGTTCATTGAGTAGGAAATAAGAGCTGCACTCGGTTAGTCCTGCCCTGCGTCCCCTGTTTTAAAGACAATAGAGATGCAGCCCTGTCTGCAGGAGCTGAAAGGGATCCAGAGATTGAAAGAGAGGGTTATGAATGAACCTCCGCCCCACCCCCACCATCGACGCGCTTCATGACGATACCATCTCTGCACTCGTGCTCAAGTGCTCGCTGGAGAGAGGGAGCGAGTGCGTGAAAGGGTGGAAAATAGTGATGGAATAGAGGACAGAAGCAGGAGGGGTCACGTGTCGCTCCTGCCTCTCCGACTTAAGTCTGCGCTCTGTTTCTTTCCACACGCCTTCCTTTCTTCCTCTCATCGCCTTTTCATGTTTTTGTCTACGCTCTCCTCGTTTTATAATCAATCAATCAATCTTTCCATCTCCATTGTCTGTCTCTCTTCCTCACCTCTCCATCTACGTCTAGCCTCTTTCAGCGGCGCCGACCCTCTGCCCTTCCGAATTTCATTCATAAAACCATGGCTCGGTGCGGGGAGGGGGGGCGAGCTATTACATATAGTATGAAGCGCTCCTGGATTGGGCGAGGACGATTCTGCAATAAAAAGAGAGCAAGCAATGAGAGAGCGAGAGCCAGGCGACCCTAATCCGCAGTGGCTTCCTCCAGAAATAGCGCCTCATGCATGTTTTAATCCCACCAGCCAAAAATACGCCACCCAGAGCACTCTGCCACCAATTACTGATCGCACCTATTCCTCTGCCTCCGCTCTGGGCCATACATCACTGTCTGCCGCCCATCCACTGTTTCTGTGTGCATGTGTTTTTTTATTTTCTTCATCCCGTTTTGTCACCTGATCACCCCGCACCTCTCAAATGAAGTTAAGCATTTGGTGCTTCGGGAGGCCGTCGAAGCAATGCACATTGGAATGAGAGTTTCAAACTTTTCTTTTGCTAAATAAGTGAGTATAGTTAGTCATTAACAGGATGTCAGGTCCTCTCCCATGCAGTCCAGATTTCTGAGAATCAGCACTGACTCAGAGCGAAGGAGAGATGGCCGAGTGTCAACAGTTTAACCAGCAGGATCTCTGAAGCATCGCCATTGGTCAAGAACGCTTAAGATGCAGCCGCAGTGTCTCTCTCTCTCTCTCCCTCGCTTTTCTGCATGGTGTGAGTCAGTGCGCGGCCAGACTGCGACGTGCTCCGGCATACTCCGCCACTCAATATCCAACGTCAGACCCCTCCAACAGCTTCCTGGAGCCTCCCTTGCCTTCCCCACCCACATACACCTACCAGCACACACATACACACGTACTGTCTGTCTCGAACCTGCTCTTTAACGACATGTCGCTCTTGGTGTGCTCACGAGACAAGCGTGGATGAATTGCTCACTGTTGTATGAGTAAATAATGTTTGTGTGTTTGCATCAGCGATGTAAACTTCAAGCGTTGCTTGTGAGCTATACGTGTCCAGGAATCTGCCTCACAAATCAGATGATGACAACAACACTGAGTAATAATATTACATAGCAGTTACTTGTGTTGAGAAAGCTTCGTTTAATCACTTGTCCCTTTTATTTTATGAATTTGTTACTGTATATATACAGTATTCTGTAAAATCAATGTATACTGGAATCTGGTAAAATATACACTCGCTGGTCACTTTATAAGGTACACATGTCCAGCTACTTGTTAACGCAAATTTCTAAACCTCCAATATAGAGCTGCACAATTAATTGTAAAAAGATCACGATCTCGATTCTTTCCCCTAGACGATCTTAATCCAGCATTTCTACGATTCTGTCAATCATATTTTCAAGTTTAGCAGAGAAGCAAAAGTGGCTCACAAGTCTTCACATTGTTTTACATACGTTGTTCAGCAACGGTGACCCTTCCAAATGATGGTGAAAGAGTCACATACCCCAAAAATGTCATTTCTGTCTTTATGTAATTTATTTGCAACCGCAAAATCACACGTGACATGAGCTGATCACAGTGATCACAGAATCTACTTTAGTGAACAGAACCTGCATAAGCTGCGAATAACAGGTAATTAAGTTGTAAATAACATTCAGTTTGTGGCAGAGTGATCGTTTGGGAAACGCTCTTAGCAGTGAAAACGAATCCGAAAGCGAACACAGCAAGACATAGCTGACAGATTCCAGCTCAAAAAGTATCCAAAACCCGCCGAAATATAGAAATACCTGCCCAGTCTTTTGTGTTCACAAAATCACGTCAGTGACAGATTTTAAGCAGAAAATGACAGACTGTAAGCATATGTCTCAAACATAATAATTCAACATCAGAACTATCATCAGCATTAATGACCAGGACAAATCTTAAGTCTGTTCAAGTTCAACATTCCAAGTCTAAACAAAATTTAACCAACAGTACAGATACACAAAGCCTATTTTACCACATGTTTGAGAATAACAATAATAATAGCCCACTCATATTAACCTTTTTTTTTTTTTTTTTTTAACCATCTACAGAATCTTGTCAAAATCGTGATCTTTATTTTAGGCAAAAAAATCGCGATTCTCATTTTAGCCAGAATCGTGCAGCTCTACTCCAATCACATGGCAACAACTCAATGCATTTAGGCATGTAGACATGGTCAAGACAATCTGCAGCAGTTGAAATCGAGCATCAGAATGGGGAAGAAAGGTGATTTAAGCAACTTGAAGTGTGGCATTGTTGTTGGTGTATATAGAAGAGCATCTCTGTACACACAACATGTCAAACCTTGGAAGAGTTACAGCAGAAGACCACACCAGGTGCCACTCCTGTCAGCTAAAAACAGGAAACTGAGGCAACAATTCACACAGGCTCACCAAAATTGGACAATAGAAGATTGAAAAAACGTTGCCTGGTCTGAGTCTCAATTTCTGCTGCTACATTCGCATAGTAGGTCAGTATTTATCGTCAACAACATGAAAGCATGGATCCATGCTGCCTTGTATTAACAGTTAAGGCTGGTGGTGGTGGTGTAATGGTGTGGGGAATACTTTCTTGGCATACTTTGGACCCATTAGTACCAATTGAGCATCATGTCAGTGCCATGTCTACCAGAGTATTGTTGCAGACCATGTCTGTCGCTTTGACCACAGTGAACCAGTCTTCTAATGGCTACTTCTAACAGGATGACACCATGTCATAAAGCATGAATCATCTCAGACTGGTCTCATGAACATGACAATGAGTTCACTGTACTCAAATGGCCTGCACAGTCACCAGATCCTCAATCCAATAAAGCACCTTTGGTATGTTGTGAAACGGGAGATTCACATCATGGATGTGCAGCCAACAAATCTGCTGCAACTGCGTGATGCTGACATGTCAATATGAACCAAAATCTCTAAGGAATTTTTTCCAGTACCTTGTTAAACCTATTGACCTTACTCTTCAATGCGGAACTGCACTCGTTTTTGCAATTGTTCTATAACTCCCGATTCAGTTGCCTATAAGAGAAAGGACTAGGAATAATGAACAGCAGAAAACGATCAAACTACTTCCTCTACAAACAAGTATTAGCATGACTATACACACAAAGTAGGATAACATGATAAGAAAATATCGGTTTGCAACTTCAAGCAGCGTAACAAGCCGTTTTAACATCTTAAAATGAATGTCAGTGAATGAGACAGAAAGTCTCGAGCCAAAATGATTAAAATGGCTGCGCTCGCTTATACACTGAGAATAAGGTGAATACCACGAAGGATTAAGGCAGTTCTGAAGGCAAAAGTGGGTCCAACCTGGTACTAGTAAGGTGTACCTAATAAAGTGGTCAGCACACACACACACACACACTGGTAAAATTTTTAACTTTTGTTTGTATTTAGTGTTTAATTTGTGTTACGAAACAGCTCATTTCCTGTCTGCCTCTCCAAATGTATGCACTTTTTTATATTCTCTGTCTTTCTGCTTATCCATCCATCTCCATTTATCTATCTCTCTGTCTTCCATCTAAATAGTCTACAAATATTCAGCTCTCCATCCAATCTTGTCTGTTTATCTTTCTGTCAATTCATCTATTCAATAATTATAGACTGTATATTGTCTATCTGGTCTATCCATCAATCACCCATCACTATGTTTGTATATTCAGTATAATTGTTTAAATATCTATCATCAACTTGTAATTCAGCCCGTCTGTATACATGCATATACATGCCAGTCAATAAATCTACCCATCCACTTTTATCTGTCTATCCTTCTATCTCATCTCTCTCAATCCATCTGCTGTTTTATCAGTCTGTCTATCCACACATGCAACTGTATACATTTGTCTGTCTGTCCATCCATCTATCCAAATGTATATCTCGTCTAACTTCATCACTGTCCATATGTCTGTCCAACCAGTGGTAGATTTGTCCGTTTATACAACTGAATGCATGTCTGTCTATCCTTCTATTCTGACTATCAGTCTACGCGTTCATTGAATTATGTGTGTATCCAATTGTATATCTGTCTATCCATCTGTTTCTATCCATCGGTCAGTCATTCTGTTTGTGCATCTATATATACGTCTTGTTTAAATTAGTTTTAAACATTTCTGATGACAATGGTGTTGACGTTCTGGCTTTGATTTAGAATCGATCAACCACATTGATTATTTATCAAAACTAAAAGAATTCTGCCCATTTGGTTGAGTATTTTTTTTTTTTTTGCTTTCTGTCTATTTCAGACTGTGGTCCTCATCATCAGGTGGCAGAAGCTGAAGGTGTTCTTAAAAAACCCATCAGGAGGAAGCTGTCGGTTTCTCCTGCAAAACTAGATGGAGATGGTCCTGTGCTGTCCCATCACCCACCCGACCTTCAGGATGTCCTGAGACAGGAGGGCATGTTTCCACTGCAATTCACTCCTGAGGGACAGCCACACACCTCCAGCATCTTTGATCCAAACTCCACGATTGACATCGGTCACATTGAAGACCCAACAGGTGCTAATGCCACCATCATTTTGTCACCTGAAGACCCCGGTCGCTCAACACTCCAGGCATTACGTGCAAACAACGCAAACAAGCCAGCTAATAGGTACCACATCCCGTAAAAACAACATCTGTTGTAAGCACGATTTAAAGTTTGGGCTGCTGTGAATAAGTTTTCACCCCCATTTGGTTTCTAGGTTGGAGATCCCATCACTGTTAGACCTGCGAAGATCTAAACCGTCCTACATGGCCATGACATCAGCCGCACAGGGCAAGCGCAAGCTCAACTGGTGTGTGTCAGAGAAAATCATGCCTCATTGACATTTGCACTCTTGGTGTTTTCCAAAATCTCACTTTTTTTTTTTTTTTTTTTGTTTGCTTGTATCAGTTCCAGCATTGGGAAAGAAGACAGTTCTCAGGCCATGGCGGCGGCCCCCAAACGCATTAAGAGAGATCCCTGCGAGGCATCCAAACCACTGCGAATTCGACGGTTAGGAGGTTTGTATGCAATTCTCAAAGCAGAAAAAGAAACTGGTTATCCTTTGCGGACTCTCATTTGTATCTTGGAAGTGGAACATAAGCGTCTCTCATTATATTCCATTTATGAAGTCCTCACATAATCCATTATGTTTGGTAAAGTATTGTAATAGTGTAATGGGCGGACCGGCTGACAGCTGTGAAAGAATGTCAGGCGCACAGCCAGAATCTCCTCCTCCCACTCCCTATGGCTCTGGTGCTTTCTTTCTCCTTAGTAATATAATGCCACGAGTTGGCTGAATTTACCCCAATTTTATAAAGTAATAAGCCACTAGGGGCCGTACATTACAGCCCTTTTTGGCCAAGTCTGTGCGCTGTTGTTAGGCACAAGTGCTTTTATTTAAATGAAATGACCACAGTAGTGTATAAATAAGTAGGGCTTTCATTTGGTTAAAATGTATACTAATAATATATAAAACCTTTACATATGAGCAGCCTTTTTTGAACTACTGTTTCAAGTCTTTTATGCTAGATGTAAAAAAAAAAATTGTCCTTATTATAATCTTTATTCCTTCTGTTTTCTTCTACTGCATCTAGTATCATCAGAAAACGAGCCAAGCCGAAGAGTAGTCCGGAGCGTGTCTGAGGGAAACCTTCATCAGCTCGGCCGGCGTAAACACATGTTGAGCTCAATGGGACCCGCTGCTCTCTTTAAAAAAGTCACCAAGAGGATGTGAGCTTTTAGCTAAATTTTAAAGACGTTGATTTCTCATGCACTGAGCTTATGTAGAAAAGATGTACAAAGTTTTTTTTTTTTTTAATTGCTTGAGGAACTGCTATTTGGGCTTTATTGTTTTTAGAAAAATGATTTGTTTAATGTTAACTTTTTTCCTCTTTTAAAATGTTTAAATAAAAAAAACATTGAAAAAGCCACTTTTTTATCAGCTGTTTCGTAATTAATAGGCTACAGATGATTAGAAATGTACTGATCCTGTATTATTTATTGTTCACATATAGGAGTAATGCACATTTGGATATTCTTAAAAAAATAGACCATTTGTGGCCTTCTTAATTACAAAGAAGAGTCATAAAGATCATTGATTTTTAAACGTGCTTGTATCGTAATGTAGCTGTTGGCCTTTAACAGTTAGGGATGGACAATATATCTTCGGCCATATCGATATCTGCAAATAAATGCTATTTTTAATGTTATCATTATCGGCCCGATATGAAAATTATTATTTGTATATTTGTACATGTGAACATTTGAGCTGGTTTTAGTTCTTAGTTATTTCATTTTTAATTTTATTAAAAATATATTTATCATTAATTAACTAATTTTATGCAGTCAGGTTGCGTCTTAATTTGCTATATAAAGAAAATGAATTTATTTTTGGCATGCTGATTTTTTAAATCATGAATATAGGTCTATATAATCACCTTGCAATTTTAAAGTTTCATTTACTTTTTTTTTTTTTTTGCTTTAAAGAGGCTATTTTAAGGTCATTTCAAACTTAAATGAGGTATTTAAAATACAATAAAATGTTTACTGTATAAAAATTACCATTTTAAAAAAGTTTATATTTATCGGCTTTTGTATGTTTGTTATCAGCCACAAAATCGTAAGTTATTGGTTATTGATATAGGCCAAAAAATCCATATCGCTGCATCCCAAATTATAACTGACATAGTCCTTTGTAACATTTGCAGCTACACAGCAAAATCCAATAGTTCAGGTCCAACTACACACGTTCTCAGCACATTTTCCATTCATCTTCACCCTAACTATTTTCCAGGGCCGTTCAGTCATCTTGTTCATTGCTGATTTGCAGGCCTTTATAGTGTGTTCATAGCTATTGAGTTCAGCTCAGCAGGAAAAAATGGAGAATGAGACTGGTCGTCCACCTCGGTCCATTTCCTGTATGCCATCTGTCTGAACCGAAAGAAAATTGAGCCTCCTGTTAGGAGTGTGAATGCTCAAACTCTTTAAAACATCCCACAGCACAACCTCCCATAGAGGTCCCATAGACCTGTGTAAATGCTTTGGTTTAGCTGTAAGAGTTTGGTAAGAGCAAACTGTGTCATAAATGCATCTTCTAAGCTGTCAGATTAATTGGTGTTTTGGGTTGTTTTTACATTTGAGAGATAATCAAAACTACAGTGAGAAGCTCTGCTGGTTCTAACATCATGCCGGAGGAATTAACAGTAATCAATTCTGTTAATGAGGCTATTATTAACAGATAATGATGTAACACGCCTACAGGCAGATGTACTGAGCTCATGGCATCCAGAACAGGACATCCATAAAGTTCTGCCTGATTGGGCTAAAAAAAGAAACATCGCATCGGTGTTATCAAATGCATTGTATTGCAAATAAATTAAATGTTCAAGTATGATAATGACCGCCCATCTGTACAGACTCTTGTTTTGAATAGACTGTTATACATATGATTATACATCAGTGAGGCAAAACATGATTACCAGCCTAATACACTGTTGGTGCGCAGCGCATTGCTAGAACAGGGCTGTCCTGGCTATGCATGCCTCTGAAATACCTGTGAAGGTGCACTGTGGTTTATCTGGTTCCAAGGCATTAGCCAAGGATCCTTCAAAGGATCCTTATGCCTCTTTCACACTACAAGCCACTTGCAGTGGCAAAGTGACAAGTGACCAATCATTTCATCGAAGAGCGAGCGACTTCCGGCGACCTCCCTCTATGTTAACGTCAGCGACCGTTGGCGACCAGGTTGGGGGTGTGACAAGCGATGCAACATACTTAAGAATCCTTTACCTTATGCAAATAAAGTGATTTTCTTGAGTAACTGCCAATAGGAGCACCAGTAGAGGTTATGTGATCCTCTCAGCTCGCTCAGAAGCCGGTATTATTCTCTGTGCTGTATAGACCTACACAGACTTGCGTTTGCAGCAGATCGCCACTCAGAGTGACAGGCAGCTACAAAGTTGCTGCTAGTTTGAATGAGGCACAATGCTAATTATACACCTAAATCGGCCTTTAAGGCTCATACACACCGGGACACTTTTCGTTTGCGTTTATCCTCAGCGTTTTCAAGACGTTTTTTCGGATTCCATTTTTCCGGATTCCGTTTTTACGGATTTTCACTGCTGTTGAGCAGAAGAGTATGCAAATCACTCCTTGACGTTAGATGGTGCTACCCAAATTTAAGCTTCTGATACCCCCTTGTATCACAGAAGGAGAACACAAAGTTGACATGCTTGTTATGGATGGTCAAGTAGCAGCTACAGCTCTAGCGATGAAGAAATGATTATTGTTGATAATAAGCAGCTCCGCGTTTATATCGCCTCTGGACATCTTCTTCAATGTGAGCTCGCATTGACAGTTTTGCGCATGAGCACCTCCAAGTGCCGTTTACTGAAACTTAAGCAACTCCGTGCACATGAACAAAAGTGCCAACCTGATTGGTGGAGAAAAAAACGTGCATGAGGCGTTTCTTTAAAAATAACGCTTTTACGCCTGGTGTTTTGTGCGTTGGTGTGCACGATCACATTGACGCCCTTTATTTAGTCACGAGGCGTTAAACGTCGAAGGAAAACGCGAGCAAAAAACGTCTCAGTGTGCATTAGGGTTGTAACGGTATGAATTTTTCACGGTATGATAATCGTCTAAAACAATACCACGGTTTGACGGTTTCGCGGTATACGGTATGTTACAAATGTTACAAAATAATAGAACAGTGAAGCAAATTTGACTTTTTCCAAATAATATATTTTTAGTTACTATAAACAACACCACTTACAATGAACAAATAAAAATAAGAAAATAATAAATAATGTGTCAAAGTCCAAATAAAGTCCAAATAAACATGGTGCAAATCCTCAGTAAAAAATAGATATAAATATTTACTATACTATAAATAGTTACATAACGAAACTAGATTCAATATGGAACATCCTTAGGTTTTATGTGCCAGCATGGATATGGTTGTCTATCGATATGGATTTGGATATGGTTGTCTGCAATGCAGACAAACAGCTGCATCTTCATTTGCGTCTTTTGAAAACAGCAAGAGCAGCAGTTCGTCTTTGCTGTGTCACTGTTTTGTCATGTTTCTGTGCTGCTGTGCATGCAAAAGTACTTAGTATGAGAATTATTTCATGCAAAACTTTTTTTTTTTTGCGTTTTATTTAGCCGCGCATAAATGTATGCCTATCTCTCATTCCGTGTTGTTCAAAAAGCTTGGTCCACAAACAAAAGCGAAACCTATACTTATTGGTTGTGATATAGCGAGTTTGAACCAATCTGGGCATGGAGGAGGGACAATGCATCAATGTATCATGTCTGATTTGTCCGGAGACACAGTGACGAGCGTTTCTTTGTCAAATCAGCGTTGTCAAATGTTGATGACGTAACCGCACTGATTCCGGAGCCTCTGAAAGTCCGCGAATGTTATGTGATACAGCACTAGAAAGCTAAGATTCTCTTCTTTATGCCAATCTTTGAATTGTATGAATCGGATCAGCGGATCAAAAGTTATTAAACATTTAAGAGCAATACTTATTTTTAGCCGCGGGCGGCTGTCTCGGTCTTTAAGGGTTAAAACCGTTGATATGCAATTGTTCATGGTATGTTAATCGTGCACGTTCAAATCGTGGTAAACCGTCATACCGGTATATTGTTACAACCCTAGTGTGCATGGGCCTTTAAGATGTCATGTCTTGGCTGTGTATTTAAAAAGAGAGCTTACTCGGTTGTTGTTTCATGTGCAAATGACGATTATCTGTAGACCAAAAGTAACTGCCGCTGAATCTAGCTCCATACTTTTGGTACCATACTGTTGTGCTTGGTACCATTAAGAAAGGTTTGAAATGGTATGTTAATGCTATGTTTAATGTTATGGTTTACTACTGTGGTAGTAATGACAGCAGAAACAGACATAAGTGCGTACCATACAGTGCGAAACAGTACTGCTCAGTGGAAAGAAGCAGTGACAACACACAGGGATTCAGGATCTGTAGGATACAATCCATTATTCTGACAGTGAACATTCGAGAGCAATCTGCACAAATCAGTCAACTTCTGTCCAGTTTGGCCAATAGGAAGAGTTGGGGCGTGGCTATTGCAGCAGCAGGCTGAGCCAGAGGGTGTTTAGCCAGTGTGGAATCATGCCTATTGATAATTCAGATTCACTCATTGGAGTTCAGGCCAAAATTTGAAGACTATGCAGAGACAGACAATGGGGTAAAACAAGGATGAACACTGGCAGTACTTTTATACGCTTCTTTTTAAAGGTTCCATGAAATCAAAAGTATCACTATTAATCGTTTTTAGGATATCTATAAGCTAGAGTGCCTCAAAACTGACAAAATTCCCGTTTAGAAGATATCAAACTCATATAAAGATGTAAAGCTTGTAGTTTGTCACTTCCACCTAAATGGATGAAGTTTTATTCACGTCACCTCACACTACAGTTTCTCATCACATCATAAACAATCAAATGCTCTCTAGTATCTGACATGTCTCCTTTAAAGCCTGTTCTCGACAAGTAGGCTAAATTCAAGTCCTTCGCAATTGTTAGTTCTTTTCTATTAATCCCTATATACGATAATATTTACTACACAAAAGGGCATATTATGTTTACGGGGCATTTGCAAAGTTTGTTTGTTAGTCTGCTTGTTTTTGTAATTTCACTAGGTGACACCAGTAGCACAGAAGCGACACCTTTAAGCATTGTTCTAATAAAAGCAAGGCAAGTTTATTTATATAGCACATTTCATACACAATGGCAATTTAAAGTGCTTTACGGAAACAAAAATTGAATAAACTATTCATTCATTCATTTTCTTGTCAGCTTAGTTCCTTTATTAATCCGGGGTCGCCACAGCGGAATGAACCACCAACTTGTCCAGCAAGTTTTTACGCAGCGGATGCCCTTCCAGCCACAACCCATCTCTGG